TATATAATGCAATATGAATGTTTCATTTAGTCAGGTTAAAGATTTTCTAAACTTTTTTATTTGATATTCTTGTTAGGAAATCCTTCTAGAAATATTAAAAATTAAAATTTAACCGCTAAATATGAAAAACAAAATGCATGAAATATAGAATCCTCTTAATCAGTTTTCACGACCGTTCGAGATAATAAAAACAAACCTTTGAGCTAGAAAATAATTTTTTTCACTTTACCTATTCAATTACGAACTATCGATAAACTTAGATGTATTTTCACGAACATTTGAGATGAAAACAGAATCTTTGAGCTGGAAAATAAAAAAATTTTCTTTCAAAACATAAAATAGATTACAAACTATAGTTAGATTTCAATACATTTTCACTAACATTTAACATGGAAAACAAACCTTTGACATAGAAAAATTCAAATTAAAGTTAATGTTATGATCATTAGAATTATCTGACATAATCATATAATTCACTATGAAGGAGGTTGTGTTTTAACTTGTCAAAAATAAAAAGACTATATATAAATAAATGTTTACAGCGGCAGTAAAGCATACGGCAGTAAATCCTGTAATCCATTGTGATGACTTATACAACGAAATCAAAGAACAGAAAGAAAACAGACGAACTATAACAATAGAAATATTGTTATATACGACATAATAGTGATCACAACATAAAGAAAAAAGAACACACATATATGTATAGATACATATGTAAATGATGATGACTCATCGGTACACAGACACTAACGAAAAGAAATGAAGTTAAACACGACAATAATAAGAATTGTTGTCAATACGTTAGATTATGTAATCTTGCTCCATCTTGTTGCAGACTAGTTTTAATAATCAAATAACCGCTTACCATCAGTTTGATAAAATAGTAACAATTTATCCATCACAATATACCAAGAGAAATGATCAATGTTTTTTTCATTTTTACTTCCCTCAGAATAATGGAAGATTTCACCATCACACAGTGCTTTACTTTTATCCTTATAGAAAGATCATCAAACAAACTCGATAGGATTCCTCATTACTATTCTGGTAGAAAAAAATCGCGGTACATCTTTAAAAAAATATCAAGATTATACGATTGATCAGTGTTGAGATTTTTGCAAAATACTAAATGTTGTAATCGTTATACCTCTCCCAGTAGAACGAGCAGCAAAGGTAAAGTGCGCTCATCCCAAACAGAAATCGTTACATTTGACTGCAACTAAACGTTTTGTAATGAATGAAGACTCTCTAATGTATTAACATGCTTAGATGAACTTGTTTATATCGAAACGACATAATAAGTTGTGTTCTGGATAAGGTTAAAAGTAATTTTTGTGACAATTTCTAATACATCTTTTTCTTGTGATACATTCGATTTTGAACGATAGTCATTCATTGAAATTAAGTTATATCGAGTTATTGGTGGTATATTTCCAGATATTTGTTATTCGAAATGCAGAATCACTCTTTTGTGTATGAAATATCAACACATTTATTCGAAAAAAATCAATATATTGTTGGAAAAGTTTATTAAGAAACTAAATGAGAAGTAAATAGTATTACATGGCGAATATGTTTTTTAGAATTAAGTGTACCGTTACTTGCGATTATAGATTTCTAATCAGAGGTGTAAAAATAACATCAGGAGAAGAAAATCACAGAAAATGTCGAATTAATTGAAAAAAAGGGAATTTAATTGAAGATGTTACAAATCAATGTTGAAGAAAAGCGAGAAGAATAGCAGCAAAAAAAAAGATCGAACCATTCATGGTTATTGCTTTTGCTTTGTTGCAAAGATCAGTATTACAGCAGCAGACGCTACCTTTAAGAGATCCGGCTTGAACATTGTGGCACTGATTGACTGTACAGCTGAATGTAGTGCTCGAAGGAAAAGCACCAGTGCCTCGGATTACTGCTTCTACATTATTAGCGTCTGCCTTCACTTTCTAAAGACAGTATATTGGATAAGAATGCTGATTGGAAAAATTATATTCAAATTCTCACCCAACACCAATTGTCTGGCGACGTTGCAGTCGCACTACTGGATTTGTAGAACGGATCGTTACAGCTTGTACTTGTAGTGGGAACGCAGGTGTAGCATTGAATAGCTTCTGTACGGTACACTCCTGCTGCAAAAAATCTTTGTACAAGTACAACGAATATGTATAGATGACATACCAATAAAGATTAGAACGACGACGAAGATCACTTGATGCATGTTTACAGTCGATTGTGTAGTTAAAAAGAGCTGTGCCTTTAGTGAGCAGAGGAAATTAGATAATTACCAATTTTCAGATAATGTGTTTGTGATGAACGCCTATTAAAGCAAAATTTTTACTTCATAAATTAAGCAGGTTATAGTCTTCATTTTCATCCTCAAAATCATTTCACCGAGAATCACTGGGGTATACATATTCATGTGGACAATATCGTTTTACAAGAAACAAAGCATATACTTAGAAAGCTAAAAAAGGAATACGCATTTTCCAATCTTTGACGGCTCTTAAAAGTCTATTTTCAGGTCAAAAAATTTACAATAAATAGCGCACAACTTGGGTTGAATTAAAAGTGTAAAAATTTCTAATAAAAAATGTTTCAAAGTTGGATTTGAAAAATGTGGGCACCCTCGCATATCACTTTCCTTTGAATATTCAAAATTTTTATATCGAGAGGAGTAATGAAAATTTCTGAAACTCCTTGTCTTTTGTTCAGTAACACATTATCAATGTCTCTTTCGAATGAATCCTCAATCTATTACTGGTGACGTATCTTCAGAGCAAACCAAACGCTAAATTCTTACAAGATAGCAGTTTATTATCGATCCACACGACTAATCGAAGTCAGAAAAGCGAAAGAAAAGATAGGATTAACAAGATACATGTGGTTTCTCTTGATGACTCGTCACAGAATATTGGACCAAGTCTCTGAGGCATTCAAATCTTTGTCTAGAAAATACTTTCAAACTAAATAGAATAACACAACTGTTTCCCAGAGTAAAAATCAAGCAAGCAGCAAACAAATCATGAATATTCATGAATAATTTACACTCAAAAAAGAAGAATCTACCTCGTCTAAAACAAATGAATACAAATCTTATCCTTACTATGATAAAACAAACGCCGAAACTGAATGCAAAAAAAAAACGAATATCGCGCATTTATAGATGCTACTACTTCCTCTGTCATACATTGGTAAATAACTGTGACTATATTATCTTTCAAAATTTAGGCGTCGACATGAATAATATGAGTAATGACATCACAAATGAAGGAAGTGAGCAAGATATTTATCACAAGTATTATGTGAAGGTTACTTATATTCGTCTATTCAGCTTGCTGGGTAGTCCAATTGCGAAGATGCAGTCGGTATTACTATTAGTCACTTTTTTGTTTACGTACTATCTACGAATGTACAGCTCGATAAACGCTTTCAAAAAAAAAAATATTCGATCGATGTATTCCTTGTTTACATTTCACCTTTATTCGTTTATAATACATGCGTCAGCAATAAGCACAGTCCGAATCGATTTTTTCCTGTCGTAAAAGTGATCACACAACAGAGCGCAACACAATAGATGCATCCAATCGATTTTATCTATCATTCAGAATTCATCTGTATTGATTTATGCAACACATGCGAGCAGCAGAAATAGTCGAATGACTTCTTTTCGGGTTCAAGCTCTAAAGATTCAGAATGAAATATCTTTTTAAAAAGAACACAAAAGAAGAAATCTCTGTTACAGAGCTATCACTAGTCGACGATCTTGACATCGTTCTTTCCAGATTCTTGCAATACAGATGAGGACTGTTTTTACATCAATATGATTATCTCCGTTCGTTACTATTATATTTTATTATAAGTTTCAAATCAAATGTACAAAAAAGTACACAACAAGCAACAAAAAATATGCATCAATTTCATAAGAGGACAAAAAATGTTAAACAAAATAAAGAAAAACAAGCCACAAAAATCTATATTTCAAAGTTCATCGTCGTCGTCGTCATCATCATCATGTTCTTTATTCGATAATGATGATGGTTGAACTGTTGTCGAAATTTCTCGTTTTGATAGTGTAATGGATGATCTGGTCGAGGAGTTTTTTTTGTTGTTGTCGTGTTTCATTTGTTGTAAAGAGTTCTTGATTGATTGACTGTCTGAAATGACAGATGCAACATTTATTTGATGAATTCGAGCAATAAAAGCTGAAAATATAGATTTGAAATACTAAAATAATGATTGAATGTCTTTTATTAATCTTACTTAAAAGAAGATCAAATTCTCCTGAAGCTAAATCATTAAATGATGCTGTTTCACCATATGCAGTACGAACTAAACATCATGCTGTTGCATTTAATGAAGAACCACGTGCCACATGACCTAAATTGATTCCATTTAATACCTAAAAACAGAAAAAGGGATGATAAAAGTACAAAAAGTTTCGGTTTACCATTATGAAATTATCATCGTCATTTTGTTGTATTTGGAAAACTTTGGCTTGCTGAAACCATAAAAAATAGAAAAAGATGTACCAACTTATAATCTTTCCATACCATATGAACAGCATGAGATAATTTTTCAGTTGCTTTTTGTAATTCACGTGGAAAATTAATCAAATTATTCATTAAACATGTTTGTTCTGCACTTTGTTTCAACATTTGTATTACTAATTGATTTGTTTCTTCACACAATTTTATCAGTGGCTTCATCATTTGATTAAATCCTAAAACTTAAATAACATTAATAAGGGAACAGAAAACATCTTTATTATACAAATAACCATTTTGTGTTGTTTCAGAAATGGATTTTGTCGCTGCAGCCACTGTTCTTGAACTAAGTGTATTTTCACCACCAGCAACATTATCTAAAGTTTAAAAATCAATAAAGAACTTTTTCATAAACATATTTCTGAATATGAATGTACTCATCATTGCTGCTGCTGCTGTACTTTGAACAGCTGGATTAAATCGTTTACGAGGAAGTGGTGCAGTTGATGGAGCAACTAATGTACCAGGAGCAGTTCGACGTTTTTTAGCTGGTAATTCTTTGAATGAAATTACAATAATTTCAAATATAAGATGCCCCTACCTCACCTGTTGATGTAACAGGTGCTACATAATTATTATCGCTGCTTGTGATTGAATTGTATATCGAAGATAATGGTTGGTTGGTAGGTCGATGAATATCAAACGGTGGATCACGTACACGAAATGATGATGAACCTTCTAAAAAGATAAAAACGTTTCTGTTACTGATTTTAAAAGACATAAATTATTAGGCTTATATTTTATGAACAGTAAAAGTGTGAAAAATTGACTTACGATGATTGATATCAACTGTTGATTGTGAAATTGATACGAAAGATGCCGGTTGCATATCATGATATGATTTATCTGAATATTCTTGAGATAATTGTTGTTCAACATTTTCGTCGTTAATGTTGAGTGAAGAAGAATTGTACATGATGATTAAGATCGAAAATAGAATAATCAAATAGAAATTATACAAAAAAATATTATGATAATATACTTCACAAGAAAGAAAAAGATTAACATCATCGTATTAATTGTGATCGGAATCGTAAAAAATCTCAGACAATAATGATTGATCAGACATATGTATTACAATACACTTATAGAGAACTGAAGAAAAAGGAATGGAAACAAATTTTGTATGAGAAAGATTACATTTTGTATAATATTTGTCGAGAAATTTAGTAACAATTGGAGAAAATGACCACTGGTTTACATAACTATTTGAAGAAAAATAACTAACAGCAGTATCATACATATTTAAGAACGCATAAGAAACATCAAATAGTTTATAAAAAAAATCACTTGTCCAAAACATTTGTTCTTTTTTTCATCATAAAATGATACTACGAAACTTTGTGTATTACCACGTCTTCGATATGACAGAGAATGGAATTCAGAAATTCCTCTCGATGCACGACAAAAAAAACACACATGTGGACTGTCTGTCGAATCAATAACGTTTTTAATTGAACGAAGAAATTCTAATTGATATTTTGAAATATATTGTTTATCTAAATAATCATCAAGTATTAAATTCTCATCAACAAAGATATTACTGATCGACCAAGTTTCTTTTTTGCATATGCAACGGGATTTATCGAATGAACGACAAATCTGATGAGCAATCAACCGATTACCAGATCGCAAAGAGCGAACAAAACGAAAAAAGCTTTCGTTACCAAAACAATTATGAAAACATAGTGCACCATTATTACTGACTTTTTCTACCAAGTGTAAATGCGCATGTGTTGAATATAAATAGAATGTTGGACCATAAATAGATAGCGCATGTTCACAATACAATTTTATAAGCGATTCAACTTCCATAACTTCCTTGTAGTCATGGTAGAAATACAATGTATGAAGAAATACAAAATATAAAGAGAAATGAGAAGAAATATGTTCAGGAAGAAATGAAAAGACAAACGGAAACATCAAATAAAGAAAAAATGAACGATAGTCATGGGCCTTCCAATATGATCGATCAGAGAGCGAGCGCAATTCGACATTAAAATTATGTGGTCATTTCATTCTGTTTAAAAACTCATTACCAGAGTACCAAGCTTCTTTAACAATCATCTTCTCCCATTTTGATAAAAGCAAAGAGCAATGTCCAATGAAACATAAATGCATAACATCAAGATCTATTTGAGTTGGAATATCTAATATTTTTGTCAGTGGACTAATACCTTTTACACCAAGATAATTATCATCGGAGAATTGTTGATGAACTAATTTTGCACAAATATCAAAGTGTGCTGATGTAGGAAGATTTATTGAAGACTGAATATATGGATATGTAACAAATCGACCTTCTTCGCACCACATTCCTTCTTGATCACATTCCAAACATGCATAATAAGCATTGTGATGAACATGTTTAGTTGCTAAAGCACGAGCTGGTAAATCTGCTTTAAACAATAACACATCAATTGAAAATTTAATTTCATCAATAATTAAAGTTTGTTTAATTGTATCACAAACTTCCTTCAGCAAAGAATCTGCATCTGGTTTTACAGGTGCATTCCTAAAACACAAAGGATAGCAATATCAGTGTATATTTGAAAATATTCTTCAGAAGAACGACAAAATATATGCTTAAAATGTAGGAAGAGACTGAATTCTTGTTCTCAACAGAACAATATTGTTTTGTTTTTTATCTAGTATTGAGAATTATTCTCTTTTTAATGATCATATGATTAAAATATGGCAAAACTAAGTTATAAGTAAAAAGGAATTTTACGTACCATAAAGACAATAGTAGAAGATTAAATTGATTTTCTCTGAGTGGTGGTGGAATTTCAACTATAGAAGCTGTTACTAACCACGTATGTTTTTTAATCCAATGAACAACAGGTGTACTATCTATATGCAGCATTAACGTGATGGGGAACGTGTCGTTGAATGTTGTTTGAAGATATTTTTTTTTCTTTTCGTAAACTAATCCTGTCAAAACGTCACATGGCAATAATTTATCAACAAGTTGTGGATAATTTAATATTAAGTGTTTGTTTCGACGAATAATTTCAATTAATTGTCTATTTGATCGATCAACAGAAACATGTTCAATAACATCAGCTACCCGTCGTTGACATTGATTTCGTTCACAAATTATAGAACAATAATTATTATTATTAATAATTTCTAAACATTTTGTACATCTTAATACTTCATTGAATGATGGTTGTTCTTGAAAAATCGAAACTAACTTTCTATATGATTTTACTAATTTATTTCCAATTGGTAAGGCACTGCCAATCAATTTCAGCAATTTGTTCATATTGAAATCATTCAATTTAACTAAATTTCCAGATTCCAATATTTTTTTATGATAAAATTTAAATGTAACAGGTGCACCATCGTATAACGGTTCATCTAATTCTTGTTCAACAAATCGTTCTAAAGCAAAAAAAAACAAATTACTTTTATGACTTTCTCTTCAAAATATTATTTGAGCAATAGGAAAACGTTTTGACATTCGTTCTAATTATGAAAATATAAAAATTATTTAGCACGAAATCAAATAAATATTCTTCAAGCATAATAAATAACTGCATGAAGATGGCAAAAATGTCATAAATAGTTTTAAATAAACAACAAGAACTAAAGTGTTTTATCCTACCATTTGATTCAATCAAATCTGCATTTAAATCAAGATCATAATTATTATCATAGATTAAATTATCTTCAAATTCATCATCATCAATAATGAGATTATCTTGAAAACTTTCATCACTAGATGATAAACATAAATCTTGTTCAACCTAAAAGGAAAGAAACACTATTAAGGTTTTATATCAAAATAGCGTAGTCAAAACAAATTATTTACAATTTGTTCTACAGTTGGGACAGGTAAAGATAATTGAGTTGAGTAGCGTTTTGTGAAACACGATCTGAAAGGAGTGTTGAAGTGTTTAGGGGTAGAAATTTGGACCCCCCCCCCCCCCCCCCCCCCCCCCCCCCCCGCGCGCACCCCCCCCCCCGGCGCC